AATGCTATAAAATTAGAAATCAACAAAAGCATAAAGGAGACTAAATCAGGCACTTGGATGCTAAATAACAATCTACTGAATCAGTGTTAGGCAATACAAGAAACTAAAAAAAAAAAATTTAAAAGTTTCTAGAAACAAATGAGACTAAAAACATAACACCCACCCCTCTGGATACAGCAAAAACAGTACTCAGAGGTCAGTTAATAGAAGTAAACAAACGTAACAGTAAGAAAAAAATGAATAAAAAGCTAAAATAAACTCCTTAACACAGCTCTCTATAAAATAGAAAAGAAACAGCAAGCAAACTCCACAATCTCTAGAAGAAAAGAAATAATAAAGGGAAGAATTAGATGGATTAGAATATGGAAAAACAATTGAAACTATAAATAAAACCAGGAGTTGGTTCTTCGAAAAGAATAGAAAATTCAACAAACCATTGTAAGCTTTAAAAAGAGGTAGTGGTGGAGAAGTGATACAAATAACTTAAATAAGAAATGAAAAGGGAGATATAACCTCAGAAATATTGAAATAAAAAGGATAATGTCAGAATATAATGAAAAGCTATACTCCAACAAATTGAAAATCTAGAAAATATTTATAAATTCCAAGAAACTTGCACTCACACCAGACTCAAAATGACACAGACTGAAATAGAACACTTGAACAGACCTGTCACACAAAAAGAAATCAAGCAGGTAACAAGAAAATTCAAAATAGCAAAGACCTAGGCCAGATAGCTTTACAGGTGAATTCTATCAAACATCTAGAAGAACGAACACCTATCATACTTAAATTATTTTAAAATAGAAAAACAAGGAACAGTTATAGACCCATTCTATGAAGCAAGCATAACTCACATACCAAGGTCAGGTGAGGACACCACACACACACACACACACACACACACACACACACACACACACAAATTATAGACCAATATCACTCATGAGCATAGATGCAAAAGTCCTTACCAAATTCCTAGCCAATAGAATCTAACAGCATATCAAAAGAAAAATTTGCCAAGATCATGTCCAATTCATACCAGCATGCAAGGATGGGTCAACACAGGAAAAACTATGTAGAAACATTGACCATTGGAATAGGGTTGAGAAACTAGAAATCAACTCATCCACGTATGACCAACCTATCTTTGTCAAAGAGACAAAACCCAGTAAGTAGGGAAACTACAACCTCTTTAAAAAATGATGCTGGAAAAATTAGATATACATCAGCAGAAAATGAAAACTATACTATGGATCATTTCCTATCCGATGGCCCACAATAACAATCTATGGCATGAACAGACTTTCAACTACAAACACAAGACAAGTAGGAGAGCATAAAATATGTGTAGATATTAAGAAAACTTCTCCAATCAGGTGAAAAAGAAGATATTTGTTAATGACATATCCAATAGGAGACTCATATCCAATATCAGTAAAATACTTCAGCACCTCAACAAGATGAAGGCAAAACCCCAATTACAAAATAGGCAGAAGATATAAAGTGACACTTCACTAAAGAGGATATTCAGGTGGCCAACAACCACATTAAGAAACACTCAAGATTGCTAGCTGCTGTTGTTATGTACTGTGAAATCAAAACTGACTGAAAGCTGACCCTCTATAGGTTTCTCTGAGGCACTAAATCACATGGGAGAAGACTTCTCATCCCTTCCTGGGGAGCAGATGGTCGATCTGAGCTGTGTGCCTTTGGGATTGTAGCTCAACTTCTTTCCACTAGGCCACCAGACAGCTATTGTTGTTGTTACATACTATCAAGTTGACCATGACTCATAGAAACTCAATGAACAATGGCTATGAAACTTGCCATGTCCTGAATCAACCTCCTCATCTCTGACATGCCTGACCCCATTGCCAGCGTCATTGTATCAATCTATCTCATCCAGGGTCTTCTTCTTCTTCACTGACCCTCTCTCTACATATCCAAGCATAATGTCCTTCGAGGGCTGGTCGTTCCTGGTGATATGTCTAAAGTATGTGAGACAGAGCTTCAAAATCCTTGCTTTCAATGAACAAATAAGTTTCTGCCGCTTAAGGACAGGTGTATTTGTTCTCTTGGCAATCCATAGTATGTTCAACACTTTTCCCCAATACCACAACTCAAAGGCATTGACTTTTCTGTTATCTATTTACTGTACAGCTCTCAGAGGCATAGCAGTCAGTTGAGAAAACCAGTCCTAGATCATGTATACTTTAGTAGCTAGACTGACGTGGGTGCTTTTTAGCTTTCAAGAGAGAATCTTTTCCCTGTGCAACCAGCCATTTTTCCCCATGCAACTTGTCCTTTGACTTCCTGACTGCTGGTGACAATTGTGCTGAGTGTGGAACTAAACAAGATGAAATCATTAACAACCTCAGTTCTTTCTCCTTCTGTCATGATACTGCCTATTGCCTCAGTGGTGAAGATCTTCAGTTTTTATGTTGAGATGCAATTCGTATTGAAGGCTAGAATCTTTGATCTTCTGCAGCAAATGCTTGAAGTCTTCCTCATTTTCAGCAAGCAAAAGTTGTGTCATCGGCATAGCACAAATTGTTGAGGAGTCTTCCTCCATTTGTAATGCCCCCTTCTTTGTCATATGGCCTAGCTTCTCTAATAACCTGTTCTGCATATAACGTGAAAAAGTACAGAGAAAGGATACATCCCTGGCAAACTCCTTTCTTGCTATTGAAGCATGCAGTGTTTCTTCTCTCTGCTCAGACAACAGCCTCCAGGTCTAGGCATAGGTTTTCTATGAGCACAATCAGGTGTTATGGGATTCCCATTCTTCTCAATGTTAGTCATAATTTGTTGTGATCCACACAAATACCTTTGTATATTTGGTAATACATAAATAAATATTCTTCTTATACTCTCTTTTAGCTATGATCCATCTGGCATCAGAAAAAAAAGTTCTTATTTTCGTGGCCTCTTCTAAATCCAGCTTGTATTTTTGGTAGTTCTTTGTCAAAGTATTGTTAAAGTCATTTTTGGAAAATTTTCAGCAGGATTTTACTTGCATGGGATATTAGTGATATTGTTTGATAGTTTCTATATTCTGTAGGGTCACCTTCTTTTTTTTGAGAATGGAAATAAATATAGATTTCTTACAGTCAGTTATCCAGATAGTTGTCTTTCAGATTTCTTGGCATAATCTGGTAAGCACATCCAGAGTTGTATCTGTTTGTTGAAATATCTCAATTAATATTCCATCAATTCTTGGAGTAAAATCTTTACAGGGCAGCTTGAACTTCCTTCTTTTTAATAATTGGTTATTGATTATGTGCTACTTCCTGAAAAAAGTTCTGTTTCAGTCAATTCTTTTTGGTACAATGACTTTTATAATTCCTTCCATCTTCTTTTTTTAAAATTTTTTAAAAGAAATAATTCATTTTATGTTAGTTTGCTTACAAAGTTCATATGCATTGTTTTTCATACTACCCTTCATTCACATTGCATTTCATACAATTATTGCCATTCATTATCATGGTTTTACATTAGTTTATCTAAGTGAAGCAAGTGAAAAAATAAAAATTTAGACCATACTTTACAGCATCTGTTTAATTTAAATTTTATAAACTTACTAGCTTCTTATCAATATTAAATAAACTGGTCAGAAAATAACTGTTAATCTAATAAAAGCAAATAAGACAGCCACAAAACAGGATAATTTCAAGGTATGTGTCATTAGATCTATGAGACAGGAATGAATAGATATAATCTCACAGAAAAGATCACAACAGAGAGAAGGCATAACCCAGAATTCTCCTGAGAATCCTTCTGAACCCTTAAAATATGTATGCAGGGCCCAAGGTGGTAGCTGAGCCATATAGTCACTCTGCATCTATAACATGTTTTATTTTTTTCCGTTTTTAAAAATTTTATTTTATTAATTTTAATGAACATTTACAGAGACTGGATTTCCATTCATTCATTGTTACACTCTTCTCCCTGCCCAGCCCTTCCCACCCCCAGTTCGCTCCTCTCTTTGAAAAGTAAAAGAAAAATTCCTTCTTTGGTATACAATCCCCCTGCACCCCTCCCACCACCCCGAGTACAATCTACTATGCAACCTTATTTCCGGACTCTTCTGATAACCATAATACCCTATAATATATCACTTTTAAATTATTCTCTCCTTCATCTGTTTCAATGCAGTATACATAATGTATCCAGTTTTTCTCAGTCTTACCCCAACCCTGATGTCAGTCCCATTCTACAACAGTTGCACCATGCAGTATTTGTCCTTTTGTGACTGAGATATTTCACTCAGCATAATGTCCTCCAGGGCCACCCATTTTGAATAATATTGCGTGAGTTTCTTATTTTTCAATGCAGTGTAGTATTCCATTGTGTGAATATACCACAGCTTCTCTATCCATTTTTTGATGGGCCCTGGGTTGTTTCCATCTCTTTGCTATTCTGAACAAAGCAGCAATAAACTTGGGTGTGCATATATCTGATTGGATGGCGGATATGGTCTCTTTAGGGTATATTCCCAGTATTGGAGTTGCTGGGTCAAATGGTGTCTCTATTTGTAACTTTTTGAGAAAGTGCCATACCACTTTCCACAGTAGTTTCACCATAACATTTTAAAATTATGTAATAGCTGGAAGTCATGGCTTTTCAATTCCTCTTAAACTTAGTTCTTTTTATTTAAATATTCTAAAATTGATATAATCAGCATTATTAGTAAGATATCAGAAGACATCAATAAAAGATAAATAATAAGCTTAATTAGGAAAGAGTTCAGTGGCATAGTGAGTTGAATTGAGCTACTAAGCAAAATGCAAGAGGATCTAAAGAAAAAAAGATTAGGTACTCTACGGCTATTCCAATTTACCACCTCAGAAACCTGGTAGAGATCACTAAGAGTTGGATTCAACAGCAGTGGGTTAAAGGTGAGATGATGCTGAGAGTTGGAGGTTTACAAACATTTACCAATATACAATGTGGTTGGGTTTTTTGGTTTTTATGTCCACTGAAAGTCACTTACTTACCTGCTGCTAAAGTCTGCCCAGCTCCCGGAGCACTGGTCACACAACCAACAGAATTGCAGAGAGAAATGGTAAAGTTGTATATTCTATAAGGTTTCAGTTCTTTTGCAATGTAAGACAGTTCTTGGGATTTAGCAGTGTATAATACCTTCAAGACAAAAAAGAGAAAAAAAAAACTCAGATAATATCCAATCAGTAAAAAAAAAAAAAAATCCCTCATGTTTTGGCAGTCAAAGTTCCACGAATTCTGACTGGAAATTACTGCCAACTACTATCAGTAAAAAGGAATTTTTCTTTTTCTTTCTTTTTTTTTTTGAGACTCAACAAGCCAGAATTTAATTGATAAATGTACAATCACACTGTTTTATGAGGTAATAATCCAGTTCCTGAGTGGATAAACGAGGAAACCAAGTTATTGCCTCATAAAGCAGCATGGTGGTAGGATTATTGTTACCAATGGCAGAGAAAAAGGATGGTGGCATTGTCATTGATATCATGAAAAGTCTAAACAAAACTATGCATGTTGGCCAAAAAGAAGCCAGAACAGTAATTCCCACATGCTATTTGATGGAGCTAGTACAGAAAGATATCATCATGTTAAATAGATCCTGCCATTTACTTAAAAGGTGGGGGAAAGCCACAGAATAAAAGCCCTGAGAATGGGATGATAGGAAACATTGCTGAGTAGCCGTATGAGGTCAGCTCTCAATTATCTTCATTATAAAATAAGCTCATACAAATTAGGTCAGTTGCCTTTTTAGAAATACTGTTTTTACTATATTTTCAAGTGAGATAGAAGATAAAATTCATGCAAAAGAAAAATACAGGAGCACCAGAGTCTATAAAGAAGTTTGAATCAAGCAACCAACACAGAGAGTTGGCTCCAATAATGTAACCTGAATTGATCAGAAGCAGCCATGTAAATTTGCTTAGGCTGCAGATGCAAAAGTCACTGTGAAGTCTCAGACTCGCCAAAAAAAGGCATAAAAATAAAGAGAATGTGAAAAAGCTTGTAGACGAAAACTGTATTTCTTCCAAATACTTATGAATATTTATGACAAATTATTTTCTAGTAATATACACACAGAGATAACTTCTAAAGATTAGTAATATTTAGGACACTGATCTAAATATCTTTAGGGGTGTGATAAAATTCATTTAGAATGTTTGTATGGAGACTGACTTTAAAATGTCATAACCTAAATGAGTAGTTCTAAAAAGCAATGCATTGAGTACAGAATATATTCTTTATTTGATATTATTTTGCAAAATAATGGTGGTTGCAAAGATTTTGGAAGTCTAGAAATAAATTAAGATTTTGATATCATTCATTTTACTTACCTTTAGGCAAAAAACAAATGCATAATTACTAGTTCTGTATTTCTGTAATTCTAATATAGTATTGAACTATTTAGAATATAAATTTTTTTATTTTGTGCAAAATGTTTTAATTTTTCTAAGAACAATAAAACCATAAAACGAATCAAAATTCTTGAGTAGTAGTATGAAATGTATTGATGTAGAACAAGTCTAATGATGCTTATATAAATTTTATAAAATATTTAGAATATAATATAGAATTAAAATATTTGTACTGTTAGCCTAAAGGCCTTACATTCCTAGCAGTTCAAGTTCATCAGCCCCTCCGGAGATAGATGGGTAATCTCCTCCCATGAAATTTACAGCCTCTGAAAACCCACTGGAGGGTCATCTATAAATCAATTCAGATTTGATGGCAATGAGTTTAATGAGTTCTTTATCTAAGGAAGTTGAACTAGTTTTTAAACTAGTAGCAAGAACACATGTACGGTCAAGTCAGAACTGACCCATAGCTGACCCTCCAGTGAGCCCACGCAGTAAAATATAATTGCGAAAAGAGGTCTGTTTCTTGATTTGATGGGTATTTACAGCTCTATATATGGTTAGAGAACTCTGGTGACATAATGGGCAAGAAGTTGTGCAACCAGCACAAATGCTGGTGGTTCCAATTCACCATGGGAGAAATATAGGCAATCTCTACATTTGTGATTTATAGCTTTTGAACACCCTCTAAAAGGTCAGTTGTGAGTTGGTTCCATTGATAACAATGAGTTTTGTTGGGTATACTGTTGTTTTATCATAAAATTATGAAAAGTTATAAGTAGCCCTAGAATTTCTTGCATATATAATTTTCATTTAGATAAACCTTGTCTGTCTGTATCATTTATCTCGATCATCTATCTATCTATCTATCTATCTAGTAAATTTGCATGTTTTAAAGGATTTATTTAAAATTTTCCATGGATAAATCATTACAAGGGTTAGGAAAACTCCAAAGATGATTGAACTACTATACTACTATATTGAAAATATTATTATTGCTATATTTATTTTTCTCTGTCAAATTTTTTACCAAAAATTCCACAATATTTATTTTTTTGCAGCAAGTATTATTCTGAAATGTTGTCTGATTATTAACAAAGATTATAAGATGAAGAAATTAAGGATTTAAACCAACTGATTGGAAGAGATCTATTTGTTCCCATTCCAAAAAATAGTAATCCAACAGAGTGGGGAAATTATCCAACTATATTATTAATATCATAGGCAATAAAAGCGACAGAAATTCAAATTAGATTTAGAAGATGCCATGGCACAATTTTATTGTTGATATCAGAAGTGTCTTGGCTGAAAACAGGAAATATTTGAAGAATGTTTTCTTGTGTAATATGGACTATGCAAAGGCATTTGATTGTGTAGATGAGAATAAACTATGAATAAAATTAAGAAGAACAGGAATTCCAGAAAAGTTAGTTATTCTATGGGAAAGCTATGTATGAACAAGTGAACATTAAATGTTTCAAACAATAAAGGCATGTGTCAGAGCTTTATACTTTCTCCATAACATTTCAATGTATACCCTGAGAAAATCATTAGAGAAATAGGACTATATGAAGAAGAAAGAGAAAGTGACATTAGGATTGCAAAATGACTTGTCAACAACTTTGACAATTATACAGATAGTATAACTTTTCTTGCAGAGAGTGAAGATTTGAAGCATTTGTGTAGCAGAAGATCAATGATTATAGCCTTCAATATTGACTATATCTCAACATCAAGAAAACAAAATTCCTCCTCAATTTGAGGTTATTTTAATAATGGAATTATTTTAAATAATATAAATTTACTTTCTTGAGTTAGAATAATCTCCTAGCAGACCCTCCAGTGGGTTTTTAGAGGCTGTAAATCACACAGAAGAGATTACCCATCTTTCTGCTGTAGAGCTTCTAATGGATCTAAACTGTTAGAGAGGTTTAGATTTTGGGTACAACTCTCTGTGGACTGATCATCAAAGCTTCCTTTGGGTTATTTGTCCTTTTTTATTTTGATTGTTTACTCAAAGGAATTGGTGTCTCCTAGTGTCTTTTTTGCTCATTCTCCAACTTTCAGATGCCTAAGAAACAAATGAAGATATCATGGCTTGGATCAGTCACACCTTTATTTTTAAACTAAAATTATTGCTCGTTATCAGCTTTTCCAAAGTGCTTGGAAACAAAAATTTCCCATTGCAACAATCTTTTTATCTTTTTCTCTCACCTTTGCTTTGAATTATTTAATTATATATTAGGTAGATATATACTTGCAGGTAAGTGGGTGAGTGTGAGTGTTAACAAATGAGTAAGACAAAGTATAGTGACACATTTATACCTTTCTATTTCACCATAGGATAACAAAAAACTACTTTCCTGTTCCATTAAATTTTAAGTGTCTTATGTTCTCATCCATTCCAATAATAATGACAAGGAAATGATAAAAAATGCTTATCAAGCTTACTTTAACTCCAAAACAATTTTATAGGTAAGTAGAAATGGTTTTCCCATTTTATAGATACAGAGAAACTGATGTAGAGGGAAAATGTAAAAATGAAATAAAAATTGAATTAAGTTGATTTTATGGATGCTAAACCTTAGATTTTTATTTTGTTTATAGGTTGTATATATGTGTGTATTTGTTTTAGGTGAGAATAACTATTTTAATGTAAGCATTAGTTGAGTTGCAATTGTTTGGCAAAGATAGAATAGCGTTTAAAATATAAGAATAGCAAAAACAATAGTTGTGGTTGTTATATGCTGTTGAGTCATTTGGGACTCATAGCAAACCTATGTTCAAGAGCCCTAAACCCTGCTCTGTCCTGTGCCAACCTCACTGTCTGACACACCTACTCCCATTACCCCAATCACTGAATTGATGCATCCCATCGAAGGTCTTCCCCTCTTGTACCTATATACAGAATAATCTGGACAATTAAAGAAGAAATGTAGTAATTACACTTGTAAATGTACTTTAAGTCTGATAATGTATTGAATTAGCAGACTTTATTGCTTCAGTTATACTAGCTACATTTATTAGAGGAGAGATGGGCAACTTAGCCAGAATTTGTCTAAACTAGTGAAAAAGCCTAAGGCGGTAAAAAGGATAACTAATTTACAGACTCTTCTCTTCTTCTAGTATAAAAAAGTTATATTGTAATATATATATATATATATTATATATGTTATATATTATATATCATATATCTATATATATAGATATCTATATATATCTATATCTATCTATCGATCTATCTATATATGTATATAATGTTGTTGTGTTGTGCTGCCGAGTCACTCGCAATTCATAGCAACCCTATGTACAAAAGCCCTAAATTCTGCTCTGTCCTGTGTCAATCTCACCATCTCTGACACACTCATCCCAATTACCCCAGTCACTGAATCAATCCACCTCATAGAGGGCCTTCCTCTCCTGTGTTGTCCCTCCGCCCTCCCAAGCATGATGTCCCTCTCCAAGGACTGGTCCCTCCTTACAACATGTCCAAATTATGTCAGATGAAGCCTCAGAATCCTTACCTCCAAGGAGTAGCCCGGTTTAACCCTCTCCAGGCTGAATCTATTTGTTTTCTTAGCAGTCCATAGTACATTCAATACTCTTCTTCAGCACCACAGCTCAAAGGCATCAATTCCCCTCTATCCTCCCTAGTTATTGTCCAGCTCTCTGATGTATAACAAGTGATTGCAAAAGCATGGCCTGTATCAGATGCATACACACACACACACACACACACACACACTAACCTACACACACCCCATGTTTAAAACGGTAGAGTGTCAG